AACGGGGAATTGGTATGATTATTTCACTTTTAATTATTATTTGCATAATAACAAAATATTATAATTTCTTTTTTTTTTTAATAGTATTTGGAATTCCATCGTGGAACTTATACAACTCAATCACTGGTAAAATATGGTAATCGTAAGTCCGAATTTTTAATCCGTGATGTCGAAATATTGAGTACCATGGCAACATTGTTGGCACGCACAACTAAAAGCGATGTCGGTGCTTATATGTAAGTATATATATATAGTAAAGCACATTTGATAAGATACAAATCAAGATTATTCAATAGATACAAAATCTAATTAATACACCTCTTTTTCTATAGATACCCGAGTAACACACTTGAATGGATTTGGAAGCTTTTATGTTTGAATCAATTCCATGATTGTTTACCTGGTTCTGCTATTGGACTTGCTTATAAGGATGTTCACAAGGTATATATATATTTCTTATATTGATAAAATAATATTTTAAATCATTACTAAATAACTTTTTTTTTGTTATTTTTGTCAAAAAAAAAAAAAAAAAAAAAAAAAAAGCACCATCGTGAAATTATTTCTGCAACTCTTTCTTTACGACACCAAGCTCAATCGGCTATTATTAGATTACGTTCACTTTCTGGAAACACTGATAGTAAATCACAACAAGGTAAAATTCATAATGTATTGAAATGATTAAAATGAATAACTTGATTTAGGATACTTGGTTGCTAAAACAAAGGGATGTCATTATAGGTTTGGTTGTGTTCAATACACTTCCATGGAATAGAACAGAAGTAATTGCAGTACCTCGACAAGAAACAGATTGGACAGGACAACAACATAATAGGGATAAACATGAATATGTATTAGGTAACAAACTGGGTTTTTTTTCTCTTTTAAAGAAAAAGTGTTATTCTTCGCTATAAGATATTGTTGTGTTATATTATCAATTTTTAATTAATGCAAAAAAAAAAAAAAAATAGTGAAAAATGTGCCTGGTCTTGGTGCATCTGGATATGTGGCACATACAGCTGATATTGCTGCTGTCGATGAAGAGATTGGTGCAAAAGGTATATAACTATATTGAATTTAATATTATTAATATATTTAATTGACAGCAAAACTTTCACACGTGCGTGCGTGTGTGTCTGTTTTTTTTTATTTTCAGCATACCGAGATCATGATGGCGGTTACTTTATTCTCGAAAATCAAAACTTAAAAGCAACATTTAACCATGATGGTCAACTTATTAGCCTCTTGGATAAGAAAACACCCGATAGGTAAATATATATATAGATGTTTGATTTTTTTATTTGTTAAGTGTAGAAACTAAAAAGTCTCACACATATTCATATATATATATATATATAGACAACTTATTCCAAACGGTGCTAAGGGCAATGTTTTACAGTTATATGAAGATGTGGTAAGCATAAAATGCACATATAAAAAAAAATCGAAAAGTTTTGAATAGTAATATTACATTATTACTTACAATATTAATCTGTTTTGTTCTCAATTAAATAGCCAGTTTATTGGGACGCATGGGATGGTAAGTCTCCACATTTGAGTTTTTAGGAAAAAGATTATATTAAGAGTAAAACCTTTAAACATATAAATTTGAACTCACTATTTTTTTTTAATACAGTTGAGATTTATCATTTACAAAAATGGAAACCAATTGAAGGAGAAGCAAGTATTAAGGTAAAGTATTTATGATAGACTTAAGGAAAAAAGACAGTACTTATAATCGTTATTCGTCATTATAAACAATAATCACATCATCTTGACAAAAAAAAAATCTAGGTTGTTTCTGAAGGACCATTAAAAGCTGAACTTCATTTCCGTCAAAATATCTCGGACAAGAGTTATATTGAACAAACGATAAGTTTAACTTGTTTATCTGAACGACTTGAATTTGACAACGTAGTAGATTGGCATGAAGCTCATCAATTTTTGGTATGATTATTAAACTAAAAAAAAAAAGCTATAAAAAAGAAACTAATAAACTATCCTATTTTATTAGAAAGTGGAATTTGTTTGGGATCTTGTTAGTGACCATGTAAGTAGTAGTACACATAAAAAGACATTATATATATCATATCATATCAAATATAGTTTATAGTACTATTATTTTTTTTTATTAATCTGTCAATAAATTTATTAAATTTTAATAATAGGCTACTTATGAAATTCAATATGGTGCTTTGAGAAGACCTACACATTACAATACAACTATTGACTCTGCGAAATTCGAAGTGTGTGGACACAAATTTGCAGATTTATCTGAAGCTAACTATGGTGTCGCATTGATGAACAATTGTAAATATGGATATGCAACCCATGGAAATACGCAACGACTTTCATTGTTACGTTCACCAAAGGGACCTGATGAGAATGCAGATATGGGCCAACACAAATTTAAATATGCTATATATCCACATCAAGGTCATTTTAATTCTTCTGATGTTGCTCAACAAGCTTTAGAATTTAATGTTCCTTTGTCACTACGGTAATAATAATGATTACATTGATATATTGGTAACAAACCTAATTATGCTATATTCTTTTTTTTACAGCTATGCGGAAGATCATGAAGTCAGGAGTGGTATGGTTTTAAAACCATTATTCCAAGTAGAACCATCCACACAAATTATCCTTGATACTATTAAACTTGCTGAAGATAACGATAATGGTAAAATATTAATTCTTAGACTGTATGAAGCATATGGAGCTCAGGCACATGCATTACTTAAAAGGTATGTATGAATTTCTTTTTTTTTGTTTTTTGTTTCTAATGAAATTGTGGTTTGTTGTAACTAAATTATTACTTGTCACAAATATTTTATAGTTATTTGAACATCAAGAAAATCCTCATAAGCAACATTCTTGAAGATGATACAAAAAATGAACTACAACGTGTTGACGACACTGGTTCCTTTAAGCTTACACTAAAACCCTTCCAGATCTTGACTTTGAAAGTAATATTGAATTAACTGTTACTTACCTGAACAGAATGTTACCTTAATAAATCAATTTCTTTTTCAATTTTATTCGTTATTAAAAAAGAAAAAATTAGTATCAATAAATATAAGACTTTTATAAAATATAAAGCTGGATGAAATACAATGATAACTTTATAATATTTCTCAAGTCAAAAATCTTTTTTAAATAGCAATCTCTTTTGTCTTTAAGAATTTATGTATTGTGATTAGAATAAAATATTTAACATATACTGTCTAATCACTAATTCTATCTCAAACAACACAAGTAAGAGTATGTCTTACATTAGAAGATTCTAGTAAAAAAAAAACCAAGTGTTTCAAACATGAACCCTTATCCCACTATGCTGACAAAGATTTCGAATCTCATCGAAATTTTTTTTAAGGGCATGAATTTAATTTCTTTTTTTTTTCCTAAATAAAAAAAGAAAAGGAACCATGATAACGTAATATATTTCTTTTTCCTATTTCCATCTATTTTGTATTTATAATGGACACCACTACCGTTCATCTCAAAGTACATTTTAATACCAAAATTTTCGATTTACAAGACTGGAGTTCTGAATCAACCATTAAACAACTAAAAGAATATCTTCAAAACGAAACGAATATCCCCATAGAATATCAAAAGTTATCATATAAAGGAAAACTTCTCAAGGACGACAATGGAACCATAGCTCGATTCAATAATAGCAATAACAAGGTGGCTAAAATAACGTTGATTGGTACACCTGTTGAACAAATAAAAGAGATTGCCAAACTTGACGCTCGATTGAGTCAACGACAAGTCATTAAACCAAGTCGACCTATGAAACGATCGGTTCAAACTTCGAGTCCATATACTTTTCATAAAATATCTGTTATTGAAGAATTTCAACATCCAGAACAAGCAAGAAAGTTACTTGAAAGATTAAGAGATGATCGAGGGGTAAAGTAACCTTATTTCTTTATTATTATTTACTATTTTTTTTCAACAAAATATATTCTTATCTAACTTTTTATTATTATTATTATTATCGTCATAGGTTCGAGCAATTATGCAACAGCACCAATGGAGTGTAGGCGAATTAACGGAATTAACACCTTTTGAAAAAACAATTCTAGGATTCAATAGAAATTCAGGCCAACTTATTTCGATACGTTTACGTACTGACGACTTGAGTGGATTTCGACATTATGATTCTATCCGAAAAGTATTATTGCACGAGTTAACACATAATGTTTGGTCTGAACATGATGATAATTTTCATGCATTGAATCGACAACTCAATAAGGAAGTAGTGTCGTTAGACTGGACAGCGCATGGGGCAAATACTTTATCTTCTGGATCTAGTTTCTATCAACCAATGGATGATGACGAGTATGAAGATGAAATTACAGGTGTTACATGGGAAGGTGGTAGTTATCGTCTTGGTAATGGAACCGGCAAAAAGAATATTAATAAGGGTAGTAGTAGTGTAGCAACAATGAGTGATGTAGCATTACAGCGAGAATTACGGGCAAAAGCTGCTGCTGCACGACTCACGAAACAAGAAGAACAAGAATTGGATGAAGGATGTGGCAGTAATAATACTCATAAACACTAATATGTAAAATTATTATTATCGTTTAGCTATTTACTACCTGTATTTTATTTATCATTTCATATATATATATATATATATCATTATTACCTACCATTATACTCCTACTTTTGTTTCTTACATTACTCATATTTTTATGCATATCCCAAAAACACCTTAATTCTCTATTTATATAATTTCTCTTTAGAATAATAAATATGTATTATAGAATAATATATCAACTTTTCTTTTATATCTTCATTACTGAAAGAAATATATATATACGTATTGACTTTTTCATAAAAGGTGATTCAAAAAGTATGGATCAAAAACAACAAATAAGCTCATTTTAACAGCGCTTAAATAGTTTACCCTTTCGGTTCATATATTTAACCGTGTTTTTTTAGCATTAGAGGTATCATTTTGTTTTACCTTTTAATGTCAGCTAGGCGCGATGGTGTAGTTGGTTATCACATATGCTTCACACGCATGAGGTCCGCGGTTCGAGCCCGCGTCGCGTCACTCTACCACATCTAGTGATTAGAGTTAGACCCTCTTTTTGTTTTCTTTTCGTAAAAAATATATATATCACGTGACTATTGCTGACTCCATAATAGTCAATTTTGCGGAAGTCATTTTGTATTTAAAAGAGCGCAAAAATTAGCAGAGCAATAATTATTTGAGCGATCATATCTTCATTGAATGGTAACAGTATAATAGCATATCAGCATTTCGTGTGTTACGAACGAGAATTGATAATAATAATAGTAGTATAATATTTTTTTTCCTTCGAGGCCAATTATATTTCAGAAAGAAAAGCATATATTTCTATTAGAACATAATAAGTTTTATAATGAATCTATTTACAAAGAAAATAACAAATGGTGGTGATAGTAATTAATAAGAATAAATAAGAGGGTATACAAGTTCAAGAATATAAAGTATAAAAAATAGTGTAAATGTCTAATTAAAAAGATATAAAAGATTATGTCGAAAAATATTTAAAAAAAATCGTCATTGTATCACTTGTTACTAAGCACCAGTATTCGTACAATCTGTACTATGTAAATAATGTCTCGAAATTGAAACAGGATCATAAAAACCACCGACATAATCTGGATTATCAGAAGTGCGCATAGGATCAGAAAGATATTTGCTACTTGAGCCCAGTACTACATCGTCTTTAGTTATTAAGGATCCAGATCTTGAGCTTGGAGTCTTAAAAGACCTACTCGATGATCTGGAGAAAGAAAAATCATCAGAAGAAGACTTGTGGCTAAAATACTTGGTAAATGATAAAAGTCCCATAATTATTATATATTTAATATGCGATATAAAGTAATTGATATTTTTATCCTTTTTATATTTGAGTTATTAATAAAAAAATGTTGAAGATTATTTAAAGATAATGTCGAAAATATTTACAAGTAGTTGTTTATATATCTTTGAAAACTGGTAAAAAGTGAAAACTTTTTTTTTTTACGGAAGGACCCTTTGCCGGCTGTAAACGGAAGGTATGCGCCAACTCGGGAAAAGAAAATATTGTTCTCGGCAAATCGTAAACCGTTTCCGTCAAGCATATGAAAAGTTAATGCTAATATATAAACGATCTTTAACAAAGTGATCAGTACATTGTATCTGTACGATAATAATAGTAGCATTAGTAATCCATGATAGGAAAACAATAATAATAATAGGGTCTTTGTGTTTTTATTTTAGTGCTTATCTTTTGTTTAAGTCTGATAAGAAATATACCTGTAGATAACAATTCCTGGTACTCATTCTTTTTTTTCCGGTTGTTATAACTAACACGACTATTTGTATTTTTATTACTATTATCCCATCTCACTGCTTCTCGTTCTCTATATATTATTTATTATAACTCTGTGAATGCAAAAAAAAAAAAGATTTAACTGTAACTATATATAATCAATATCATTACAGTTAGAACTACTTTATGATTGTGTACACTTGGATATAAGCTTTTAGATACTAAGAATTAGTAAAAAGGCATTTGTTCTAGGCTGGATAATTTCTTCATATACTTATTAAACATAATCATTATTGTATTGAGTAAAAAAGAAAACTAAATATCATTTGTTAATTACTTTGCCATTTTTATCTTCCATTTCGCGAATTCAATAGTTATTGGTGTAGTCAATGTATACAATTACTAGGATATAAGATTTTAAGTTATATTGGTTTTGTTTGTTGATATGCTTGATTGGTTACATTTTGATATAGACAATAAAAATAGTTGGAATGGTTGTTAATATTTGTTGTCATGGATTCATCAGCTTGTGCATAGTTACGATTGTCAATAACCTTAGCAACTTTAAAACAAGATGGTTCTAATAGAATTTACGTCGAGTATATGAGTAAGGAAAAAGTTGAACTAATTCTTTTTCAACAATTAAAAAAAAAGGGGTGAACTCAGCGAATTATCCCCTTTCATTTTTTTTTTTTTTGACAGGTTCCAAATTCAAAAGAGAAAATAAATAAATAATAACAATGTTGAAGAATCAGGGACAACGAACTTTATTACGGACAACAAAATCAATTCGAACATCCACTTTATCACACAAAAAGACAACATTCAATGCGCACCGTTCCATTCACGTCTCAGTAGTTGTATCAAATAAAGCGCGTCGTCAAGTTGATCAACAACGGAATAATAATTCTCAACACTCGATCGGTGGCATTTTTGAACCCTTTCTAGAAACATCAACGACAACAAATAAACAGTATGTTTTTTTATTTTTGCTCTTTCGTACTAATGGATTCTCAGTTTAATAATGTCAAAGCACTTAATTATTTTTTTTTTGCTGGGGTGTATTTATAGAACAGAAACAAAAAGTAAAAACGAAATAATAGAAAAACTTCCAACGAAGATAAAAGTGGAAGGTAAACAAACGTTCCCCTTTTTCCTTACTAAATAATATATGCTGTGACGTTGTAACTAAAACATCAACATATATAGATGTACTTCCAGAGGATAGTGAGCTAGAAATGTTATTAGAAAAAAAACAAATTGCTTTACCCATTGAAAAACAAAAGGCTGTTGTGAATTATATACTTGAAAAACTTAAAAACGACAAACCTATCGATAGCAAAGAGTTGGTACAAAGTAATTGAAAAAAAAAGAAGTTGGAGAAATAAGGAACCTAGAAAGCAAAATGACTTACCACAATGTTCTAAACTCTTTGTATATTTTTTTTTAGTTTCAGATAATCAAGTATCCGAATTAATAGAACTAGCAAATATTGTAATCCGTACATCACGCTATGGAAAACCTATCGCATATGAACTCTATAGAGCAATGATGGATCATGGAGATGATCGAGGAGCATACAGTTTTGCAACCATGGCTTATAAAGGTTATGGTGTGCCCAAAGATGAAGATGCAGGCATCAAAATATTATCTGAATTGGCACGCAAAGGGCATCCACATGCACAAATGAACTTGGCATCCTCTTTAATGCGTACACAACCTAATCAAATCTCTGCTGTTATTAAATTATATGAGTTGGCTGGAAAAGGAGGTATAGATAATGCTTTTGTAGAACTTGGTAGAATGTATCGTATTGGATACGGTGTTCATCAAGATCATGAAAAGGCCATGGATTATTTCCAACGAGGTGCTCAAAAAGGAAATGCTCAATGTATGTTTATGTTGGGCGTATATCATTCATCAAATCAAGTTGGCAAGGAAGATCAAAAGAAAGCATTTAAATATTTTCAAAAAGCTGCGATGCGAGGTAAAAATTTATATAAATAATAAAATGAATAGTTTAGTAGAAATATCAATAGTATAATATGTTGCTTATTAAACATTTATCTACCCCCCTCCTTTTCCTTTTTACTAGGTTCACCAGAAGCACAATATAACGTGGGTTTTCGATTTTTGAAAGGGTATGGTGTTGATGCGAATGCTTTCAATGCTGCCGAATTTTTCAAAATGGCTGCTCTTCAAGGATTTCAGTTAGCACAATCAAACCTAGCGGCCATGTATATGCAAGGACATGGTATAAAACAAGACTTGAATGAAGCACGACATTGGTATCAAAAGGTTGTGGATAAAGGAGGAAATATTGGAAAAGAAGCACAAAAAGCATTAGATGAATTAGATGGTAAAAAATCTAATGGTTCTCGCTGTAGTATTATGTAATTATAATAATAGAATAACCTCTAAGCTATTTTTTTTTTCAATGTTGTTTAATATACCAAAAATAATTAATTTTTTTAAGAAACACCATTATCGTGTGTATATTTAAATTAAATATATAAGCCAAACAGCAACAGCAACAAAATATAGATATTTTATTTTATTTAAGATTAATAATAATACACAGGACTGGCTCGTGGTGCTGGTATAGGTATCATATCATCATACACAACAATACTATTTCTACTTGAAGGACGTGATGGTCTTCTACCGCCACTTATGCGTCGTTGTCGCCTTGTTGTGGGAGGTAAAAAAGTATCAGCAACGATATCATCCTCATATTGAGGTTCATTTTCAGCTGGGACCCATACAGGTGGGGGTCCTCGACTTGAACGTAGATGATTCAGTCTTCCACTATGATAGAATCCTGAATTAGGACGGGCTCTACTAAGTATTCTTCTTGGCCTGTCATTCATGTCTTGGACCAACTGATATTCTTCTTCTGAAAGAGCATCATCATCATCCATCACAAGGTCATCTTCATATATTTCTTCTTGTTCTTGATCTTGGAATGAACCACGACTACTACTACGACGAGGTTGTTGACGAATTTGTTGATAACTATTACGACGGCGACGATCCATGTAATAAATAGGTTCTTCGACTTGTGAAAATGATCGACGCTTTACATGTCCTCTACGTGGCGATCGTCTTTGTTGTTGAGTGGGTGCTTCTAAGAATTTCCTGGATCTGCTATTACCTCTATTACAATCCTCATAATAATTATCTTCCTCTTCATCTTCATCATCATCATTATCGCTGTAAAATTTATTTGATTGTGGCTGTAAGGAAGCTGAAGAACGAGACTTTTTTAATATGGATACAGGTCGAATATCGCTCTTCGTGGTACTGGCAAAACTAATACCAGATGATCGTGAAGGTCGGTTTTCAAAATTATTGCTATTGAATGAAATATTGGAAGAGCAAAAAGAGCGTGGCCGTGGTAATACTGGTTCAAAAGGCTCTTCTTCCACTTCCTCCTCCTTTACCTGTGGTTGTTCTGTATTTATCATCTTAGAATAGTCGTTATGTTGATAGTAATTTGCTCCTCCGTCATCTGCTGCACTAATAGGTGTAAATGTTGAAGTCGTATTTGATGAAGGTGACATGGAGATCTCAGAAGTACTTCCAAGAAGTGGTGGTGCTGGTGACAATAATGATGAATTTGTACTGTTACTATTGATTGGCCATCCTCCAGTAGCAGTCATTGTCTGCTGTAATCCATGTTGATGCTGCTGTTGATTATGAATACTACTACTATTTGTCAATATACTGGCAGAATTTGGTGATGCACTAG